ATCGGAGGTCGCAGAACGCAACGGCAAGAACGGGCAGCCCGTGTGGATCATCTACAAGGGCAACGTCTACGATGTGACAGCATTTGTGGAGAAGCATCCAGGTGGCGATGACCTCATACTCGAGGTGGCGGGCAAGGATGCAACGAAGGCGTTCAACAGTGCCGGACACTCCTCGGATGCAGTGCAGCAGCTAAAAGAGTTCAAAATCGGTGAAGTGGCCATCGATGCACAGCCCAAGCCACAATCAGGACAGAAATCAGCAGGACTCCAACAGCAGCAGCAGCAGCAGCTGCCGGAGCCAAAGCCGGCGGAAAAATCCTCGAATAGTTTCCTCTGCTGCTGCTAGGTTTCAGAGCTTCACAACTGCCATTAGGTGTATTCGTTTTTGTTTTAATTGTTAACATAGTTCAGGTCGTTTTAGTGTATTATTACTGTAGCTAACTAGAGCTCAACCAGTCATTAACTAATATAAGAAGATCAACTCTCTATTTTGCGTAGCGCAAATGTAAATAAACTTTCCATTAAGGTTGCCTTTTCTATCCGTTTCGTTTCCTTTGCACTAATTATTCGACTAAGGGCGCCTGCTCCTGCAGCACCTGGCAGGCAGCGTCGTACAGCTCCAGGGAGAAGCTGGACAGATTGTGATTGGTGTGATTGCGTAGATAGTGATAGAAGCGACTCGAGCGTCGCTCCAAGCTGGCGCGCTGCTTCTCGCTGCGGCAAATGGAACGCATGGCGGGCTCGTAGTCCAGGGAGCGGGCGCAGCTGGAGCGCAACTGGAAGCTGCCCAGCTGATCCGAGAGATTGAAGCTGCAGGGGAGAGCCAAATGAATTCAATTAGATAATCTCTCTCTCTCTCTCTCTCACTCTCTGTTCTCGTTTTATCTACTCACCGCTGCTCTGGCTTATCGAACAAGTTGTAGGCATAGTTCTTGGCGGCCAGGCAAGTGCCGACGGCGCGTTCGACTAGCTCGTGCGCCAGCTGCTCCGAGAGATGCGGCTGCAGTCGATCGTTTCGCTCCTCGAGCGTGGCATCGAGCAGCGTGGCCGTCGACAGCTGCTCGTAGAAGGAGGCCAATGTTTGCAGCGGCTCCTGGGCCTCGCTCTTGCTGAGCCACGCCTTCTTTGGTGAACACGATTTGCGCTTGCCCACGCGCCGCGCCACCGGCGTCGAGGGCGACTGCAGCTGGGTGGAGTGACGCAGCAGCTCGCCGAGATTGAGGCGCAGCAGGCGGAAGTCAACGGGAAAGGGTATCAAGTGCTGCACATTCTGTGCGCTGGTGTAGAACTCGAAGAGACGTTGATGTATCTGGACGCCGGGTAAAGTGGCCAAACGGGGTGATTTGCTGGGTGAGCCGGACGGAGCAGCAACTGTCACTTGTTCCCGTTTGGCATCGCCTCCGCTCTGTATGAAGAACTGCAGCTCCATCAGAGTCTTGCGCAGATTCTGATTGTTGAACAAATAGAGGGATATCAGCTCATCCAGTTCGATCGGGCAGTTCTCCATGAGCGCCAGCACGGCGAGGAAGCGCGAGATGTTCAGGGCGTTCGGCGCCTGGAACTTGATCGTATTCTGCTGCATCAGGCGCTGCAGGTGCGCGCAGTTCGGATCGCTGGCCACGATGATGACGGGACGCTTCGAGCTGGCGGCGAGTGTGTAAATGGCATCCGTGAAGCCAGCATCGATGTTATCGAAAACAATGTCCGCATCCTCGATCAATATCAGAGACTTTCGCACATCGTCGTCGCCCTGATTGCGCCTCGCCTTCAGCCCGTTCTGCTGCAGCTTCTGGAGCAGCTGCTGCGTGGGTGCGGCACCTGCTTTCGCCTCCTTGCGTATCTGATGCGACTGCGTCGCCTCCTGCAGCTCCTGTATGAGCTTCTTGCCCGTCCGTCGCATGCCCGCATTTATCTCCAGCACATTGAAGTTCATGTCGTTCGCCAGAGCGAAGACCGCATTCGTTTTSCCGCTCGAGCAGGGCCCGAGCAGCACCATCGTGTTGCAGCTGCCGCTCATCGAGCTGGAGTCGTGATCGTTGGAGCTGTCGTCGAGCGTTTGTGAGTTCCGATTGCTCGCGCTGGCCCCACTCCAATTGGCCAGAAAGTCACGCAGCTCCTGCACGGGCGTCAGATTCACGAGGACCTGTTCGAACAGCAGCGGCTTATACTTCTCGGTGAAGAGGAGCTCGCCATTGGGCGCCAGGGCAGGTGGATGGAAATCCTCCTCCTTGCCCAYGTCYTGCTGTTGGATGGAACGTCGCGTGCGTCTCGTCATCACAAAGGATTCACCCATCGGCTGCGTATCCTGCGCCGCATCTATAGCACTGAAATGCCTATACTTCTCGCGCATCTGATTGTAGCACTTGAAGGTGGGAAAGCGATCGAAGATGCTCTTCCAGTTCTTGACCATGGCCCGTTTATTGTCCAGCTGTGGCAAAGGCGTCCAGCTGCAGGCCGTTCTCTTCCTACTCGCCACAAAATCGGAGGCAGTGCAGCTGGTTATGCTTCCAGGGCGTGGTTTGCGGGCTATCGTTGCTGCGTCCTCCTCCTGCTGCTCCTCCGCTCGCAAAGGCAGCCGCTTGCTTACTTGCTTCAATTCCAGTCGCTCGCTGCCCACATGGGCTATGCTCGGGAACAGCTCGTAGCTATCCTCGTAGTATTGCTCGTAGCTACGTTGCCGTTGCTGCTCCTGCTTCAGCTTCTCAGGCACGCCGGAATGCAGAAACTCCTGACGTGCGCGCAGCGCTGTGGGATCGGGACTCGGCTTGGGCACCTGCCGCACAAAGAGCGGCGCCAATTTCTTTGGCGTCACAGCCGGATTGCTGTTGTCCAGATCTATGATTTCTATGCAATCATTTTCCTCCACCGCAGGCGATGGCTTAACGGCCTTAGTCGGACTCACCTCCAGGTCGTAGTCGTAGCGCGCCTTGGCCGCACACGAACGTCTCGGACGACCGGAAGGAGTTGTTGTCGCCGAGGTTTCCTCAACATTGACTGAGAGATTGGAGCTGGTTTTGCTGGCGCGTGGCCGGCGCTTGGGCGTCTCTACTGCCTCCTCGATCAAATTGATTTCCGGTTTTTCCTTTTCTCTTTCCGCAGAGTTCTGTGGCGATTCCACTTTGGTAAAGTAGCCCAAYAGGCTGTCGCGCTTCTTGGTGGGCGACGACAGCTTCGACAGAAACTGCAGCGTATCGGGATCGGCACTAACGGGCAGAGCTGTCTCCACATCTGCGCTGAGCCGCCGCGTGCGTGGACGTCCGCGCATTCTTTTGGTTGGAGCCGAGGCTGCTTGTGCCTGCGTTTGCTTGCTCTCGCTCTGCGCCTCCTGGCTGCTGATTGTCTCCTTCGTCTCCTGGCTGCTGCTCGTCTGCTTACGCACCCGCGGCAGCTCCTGACTGCTGCTGTTGGAGTGCTTTCGTTCCCTCGGCTCGTTGGGTTGAGTCAACATTTTCTTTAAGCTGCAATTGATTTGGATGGATTATGGATTGCTTTCTATTAAGATTCTAGTTGCGTCTTACCGCTTGGCCCGCTGCTCCATTTTCTGCTCAATGTAGTCGCCACGTGCCTCGTCCGCCAATCGCCGCTTAGCCCCGCCTTTGCGGTCGTTCCACTCCTGCAGCATTTGCTTGCGTTTGGTATGAGGCGTCACAATGGGCTCCACGGCTTCGGGCAGCTCCTGGCCATTGGCATTGGTGCCCATGGAGCGATTGCGTGCATTCATCATCAGTTCGAATACATTAGTAGCTTTGGCTGGGGTTTTGCCCGCCGGCTCAGCCTTCATGATCGACGATTGCGGCGTGCTGCTCTTGACCGGGCTGCCATTCGATTTACGCTTCGCTTGACTCAAACCATTCTCCCGCGCCGTTTTCTCTCGCAGCACGTGGCGGCCATTTGGCGTTGTCGTTGTTGTTGTTGCCGTTACYGCTGGCACTGCAGCAGCATTTGTGGCTTCAATTGCTGTTGCCTGCTCGGCTAGCAGGGCAGCACGTCGCTTTTCTTCGCGCTTTCGCTTGTGTTTCTCACGATGCTTTTGCTTCACGGTATTCAAAACTTCCTCCATGTTTTGTAAGATTAATTTGGATTTGGCGCTGGGAGGTGCTCTCAATATGAACGGCGATGTGGGCGGCTGTTCCAGTACATTTTTAGTGGGCGTGGTATAATTGGTTGCCTCTTCAGCTGTTGTGGTAGTAGTAGTTGGTGTGGTTGTTGTTGTTCTTGTTGTTGTTTGCTCACTTGTAAGACAATTTACATCAGTCATTGTTGTCTCTTGTCTCTTGTTTTACATTCGTACATAGTTTAAGCTCTGTATGTGTGTCAGTGTAGTAGTGTCTGTGTGTTTGTGTATGTATGTATTTATGTATAATTTGCAAGCAATTCAAGTATACAAAGCCAAACTTATAAAATTTGCAACAAACAACGGAGCAAAGCAAGCTACATACATAAATAAACAATAAATTGTGTACCTTGGATTTGGCCTTTTTTTCTTACTACTTGCACACTCACACATACAATTGCCAACACACGCACAATACCTAAATGCACACCCTCACGCTAGCACTTAACCACTCTGATAATCCTTTTTTCTATGGTGCATTCTTTAACATTCCGAAAAAATGCAGGAAATGAAATTTCTGCGAAAAAATGCAGGAGATGATTGATACAAGAAAAATGGCGCGAAGGTTTTACAACACTATTGATACAAATATCGGTTGCAATATTATTTATCGATAGGTGTAACATGTGTTTAGTTGTGCGATAGTGCTTCAAAAGATCGCAAGTTTTCATTTATATTCCACCACTAGGTTGATAATACTGCGCCAAAATTACAGAAATCAAATGACGTCACAAAAATAAAACCAACACATTTTTTGAACATCTTTCGTTTCGTATAGTTAAGGGTAAAGTGAAAAACTTCATTTGGATCATAGTAATGTGTATATGGCTCTACAATCGAAATTAAGTTAGTTAAAATTTGGCTCCCAAGGTCATATTCAAAATTTGTGACGTTATGCGCAAAGAGAGCGAAACACGCAGTGCGCCACGTTGAACCGAAATCTATGTTTTTATTGTCAAAGCATGTGAAATACGCTGCTAAGGTATAAACAAAAAACAAATATTTTTTTATTTAACAAAACCGTTTTGGTGTGCAGCAAGAATAACTGTTTTTAAACATGTCAAAAACGTCGAGCGTAGGGAGCTTAGAAAGTGCTGTAACGGATCCACTGCAACCATCCACATGCAGAATGCAACAGCAACAGCATCAGCAGCATCAACAACTTGATACCGAATCTGACTATCCGACTGCGATTGAGCTATTACGCCAACGTTCGCAACGTCTGGCGACGCGGCTGCAGCAAACGCAAAAGGAATTCGCAACCAAATTGCCAAATACCACGGATTATCCCCTGATTGAGCAAAAAGCCAATCAATTTATGCGCAATTATGTCTCACAGTCGCAACTGCAATTGCCGCAGCAGCGCTCAATGCCAATGCTCAATTCTGCCGCTACAACAGCAGCTGCCACGGCGAATCAGCTGCAACAACACCAGCACCAGCAGCATCAGCAAAATCATTTGCCTCCTATGCCGTTGCCTATGTCTGGCTATCCCTATCCCATGGGTTCCTATGGCATGCCCGTGCATATATTTGCCAGTGCAGCAGCTACAGCAACTACAATAACAACAGCTGCAGCCATGCCGTCAACGCATCAACAACAACAACAGCAGCAGCAGCAGCAGCAACAGGAGCAAAAGAGGAAACGCAAATCTCGCCAAGTGCTCAACGGCGAGGTAGATGCTCTGAAGGAGCTTGTCCTGAGACTCGCCTGCCTGAGCCCCGATATCAAGGCGCACGCCCAGCACTTCATAACCCACAACGAGGTGCTCGCCCAGCTGGATTGGCTGAATATTTCGGATGGTCAGCAACTGAACAGAGCGAGCAACTATATCGCAGCGAATCTCATGCGCCAGTCAGGAGCACCGATTGGGCGTCGCATTGATGGTGGCATGGATATGAATCGTCAGCAACAGATGCAACAGCAGTTGCAACTGCAACAGCAGCAGATGCAGCAACGATCAACTGCCCGATTGCCAGCAAATCAAGTACATCCCATGAATCAAATGCGTTTCGGTGAGGTGCTGCGTTCACGACGAGATTCAGAGCTATCTACCACGAGCAGCAGCAGCACAGCTGCAACAGCTCAGCAGCAGCAGTATCAGCAGCAACAACAACAACAAATGGACAATACTGGCGCTCAATCGCCACGCAAGCGCAATCGCAACCGCAAGAAACGCACTGATAAAACCACGCCTCGATCTCTGCAGACCGAACTGGAAGCCATGCGATCGTACATCAATAAGATCGTGCAACAGTATGTGGGCAGCGAGCAGCAGTTGCCGCAGGAGCTGCTCTTCAAGGGTGATTTTGGTGACTTGGAGACGCATGCTCGACGTCTGGTGGCAGCTGGCTATGGTCGCATCGTCGAGGAGGAGATTCGTGTGAATCGGAAGAATAATCGCCAGGCATTCATCACCATGTCAACGGATCGCGAGACACTGGAGCGTGATGGCATCGTCCTATTGCCCGTGGCCAGGCGTTATGCCTTCGAGGGAGATACAGTGCGTGCCTTTGTCCTGAATGTGGGCGCCGCGGTGAGCAGGACAACGTCAGCGGGCGCCATTATAGGTGGCAAGGGATCACTATCATTAGGTAAGTATATTGGATTCTGAGAGCTGCTAACGCTCTCTCACTTTCACTCACGATCTCCGTCTCCCTTCGCAGCTGAGGACGAAGAATTGTCGGATGAGACCGAATCGCAGGACTCGGACGATGACAGTGTGACAGTCATTGCCTCGGATAATTGCCCCAAAGCCTTTGTCATTGCAATTGTTAAGCAAACGGAGCTACGCCAGATTGTCGGCAACATTTCCTTCACCAATCCCACCAAGCTGTGCGACGACGAGCTCTTCTACAAATTCCGACCCTTTGACTTACGCATGCCCATGGCCTATATACCGCAGGCCAGCTGTGCTGCCCATTTGGGGGGCAAGCAGCTGGACGAGGTGTGCGGCTTGCTCTACGTGGCGCACATACTGGAGACGGACTCCAATGGACATTGCATTGCGGAGCTGGTGCAGCCGCTGGGACGTGTGGGGGATCTGGATAGCGAACTGAAGGCCATTCTCTTCCACAACAGTTTGCGAGACATAGTGCCTTATGAGGAGCGCTTCAATGAGATGTACGCCGAGGCAGCGCCCGCCGTAACAGATGCTGATCTAGTAAATCGTCGTGATATGCGCAAGAGTTGCGTCTTCACCATTGATCCGTTGACTGCCAGGGATTTGGATGATGCCRTCTCCATAGAGAAGATCAGCGAGARTGAATATGAGGTGGGCGTGCACATCTCGGACGTCTCCCATTATCTGCAAGAGAACAGYGAGCTGGACAACATTGTCAAGCAACGCTCCACTTCGATCTACTTGGCCAACGAGGTGATTCACATGCTGCCAAAGACGCTGTGCTTCCGTTGCTCCCTGCTGCCAGGGGAGGACAAATACTCGTTCTCTGTGTTCTGGCGCATGGATGGCCAGGGCAAGCAGCTGGGCAAGCCAGCCTTTACGCGATCCGTCATAAACTCGTGCTCACAGTTTGCCTACGAGCATGCCCAGAAGATAATCGATAATCCATGTGAGCCATTCACAGAGGACGATTTTCCCAACATCCTCAACGGCTTTACAGTCAACGATATAGTCCAGAGAGTTACCTGGCTGCATGGCATTGCCTCCAACATGCGTACCAAGCGCTTTGATAATGGCGCCCTCACCATCAACAATGCCAAGGTGCGGTTTACTTTAGATCCTCTGGAAGGCGAACCCATTGGCTTCGAGATAGAGCAACAGAGGGAAGCGAATCACATGATCGAGGAGTTCATGCTGCTGGCCAATCAGGCGGTGGCAAAATTCATCCACGATGCCTTTCCCAAAATTGCGGTGCTGCGAAATCATCCTCCTCCCCTGACCAAGTCCCTGAAAATGCTGCGTGACAAGCTTTACGCCCACGGCTTAGAACTGGACTACAGCTCCTCGAAGGCATTGCAGGCGAGCATGCGAAAAATTTGCCAGGAGGCTGCCGATCCGGTGGCTATGTCGGCGTGTCTGAGTCAGCTGCTAATGAAGCCGATGGCGCGTGCCACGTAAGTTCACCGATAGCAAGAGATGTGATACCCTGCAAAGTTTTGAAAATATTTGGAGAGCATGAGAGGCTATATGAATTTGATCGCATAAATCTATAGATATATTATTACAGGATATTAATCACGTTTCTTTTTACAGCTATATATGCAGCGATGGCAAAACGCAACCGTCCGATCTATGGCATTACGCCCTCTCCATACCCATCTACACCCACTTTACGAGTCCGATTCGACGCTATCCGGATGTTATGGTGCATCGGTAAGTAGTTTCCTGGTTTTTACTTTCTCATAGGGGATGTTTAATGTTTAAATTGCCATATTAAATTAACGAGTTTATTTGCGGTATTTGCTAGTTTTGATACTCTCAACAGAATTCAATTCAATTCAATTACTTTACATACACATGCTTACCAAATGATTAAAATAGCTTATAATAGTTCGATAGATAAAACAAAAGCTCACCTTAAAAACTGTTTAGATGAAGTAAAGTTTTTCTTACATTTCACTAACCCAACAACTTCAGTTGAGAATTATTTTTAGAGTTGACAGTTATAATGAGAATCGCTAATATCGGCTATCCTTAAAATGTCTATCGATATTTATATTTTCTCCTTTTCGTGATTTTGCAGCCTGCTTGCCGCCGGTTTGAATTACTGTACCGCACCGGAACGCACGCCAGCGGAACTGAATGAATTGACAAAGATTGCAAATGAGCGCAAATATAATGCCAAGCAGGCGGGCGATGATTCTAGCAATTTGTTCTTCAAGCGGTACGTGAGCAACCGACAGGTGATTTATATGCGTGCCGTGGTCATGGAGATCTTTCAGCAAATGATGAATGTGGTTACTCTCGAATCGGGTCATGTCATTGGTATTAACTACAAAATGCAGCGGGTGCTCATTGATACGCATAATGCACCAAGTTTTATTCTAGTTGCTGAGAGGAATCTCAAGCAACCGCCGTATAAACTGCAATTTCTCTCTGTGGTGCCCATTCGACTGATTATATGGGACGGCAAGTTAACGGGATTTCTACTCACTCACGATCAACGTCAAAAGGGACCCAACATGGAGCATCCATCCTCTCGCAAAGACAAAAAACAACAACAGCAGCAACAGCTGCAACAACAACAGCTAGCCAGGAATAACAACAAATTGAATAAAAATCTACACATTAGAAATGCTCAACAACAAGCTCAGGACCAGCAGCGCYTGCGTCGACAGCAGCAGCAGCAACAAATGATTCAGCAACAACAACAGCGAATGTTCGCTTTGCGAAAGAACAGTTCGTAGATAATTATACCAGCAAAAGACGACCTATTGGAAGACAGCGGGCAAAAAAGAAACAAAGCCAAAAAAAAAAAAAAGCAGTTACACATACGTGCAGCTTTTTCTCATTAGTTATTAAATCATAGCTGCATGTTTTCTTTTTGAACTTCAATTTCAAAACACAACGGATCGAATATAAATTACTTAAAACTTGTGAATTATCGATTATTAACCTAATTGCAACTCTAATGGAGATGTGCAACTTAAAAGAAATGCAAAAAAAGTTTATTTTGGTCTACACATATTGAAATTTTGAAAACATATTTCCAATTGAGTCAAAATTTTCAGTTGTCAAGAAGAACCCATTACAAAAAATAACAAGAAAAACTTCCCGCTCTTTAACATATCTTGAACCGGACCCGGACCCAGGCTGTTAACCGAACACATTTTGTTACACGGATCTCAGTGTAATTGGCCAGTTGTTTATTTGTTGCACACTGTTGCGTGTTATTTGAAACACACGAGAGGCTGGATGGTATGGATAAATATGTGGCGACACCTTGCGGAAACTAAGTCTAGTTGTGCTCGAAAATAAATAGTTCAAATTTATTTTAATAGCAAACTCTTCCAGTTAACAGTTAACGCAGGCCGTTTCCCAACAATATACCTAGTTTGTATGTAATTATTAAGAGAGCAACAGAAGAAATCTATTCAAAATTACCACTGTAAGGAATTTGTTTCATAAAATTTTTTATATTATAGAAATAAAATTAAAATATCTTAATGTGATGTATCGATACTTAGTTGAAACATATACGCACGCGATATATCGATAGCAGGTAACAGTCCAATAGAGAGCGTAACAGCGCACAGTTTGGGCAATATTGCCAACAGTTTGAGGCGCATTGCTTAAATTCTGTCGTTCGGTAAGGTTCATACGTCCATTAATTTTATTTATATGTGAAAAAGAAAGCAAGCTAAAGTAAAAACAGCAATATTAGCTATTGCTCGTTAAGTGCGTGAAGTGCATACATCTGCTAAATAATTAAAAACAATAATAATAAAACAGCCGTTGTCGACCAATTGCGTGCTTCACTGTTACGGCAAAAGGAAAGCGCAAATGAAAAAATATATACACACAGCCAGAGGCAGCAGTAGCAGCAGCAGCACCAGCAGCACCACAGAGTAGCATCGCAACAAGGCAGTGTCAAAGGCGACGCATGCTCGAGGGGCGCTGATGTCCCAAAATCGCGCGTAATTTATTTAAAAACATTCCCGATTGGCGTTCATAGAAAGGGCATATTAATTATAAAAAAGCAAGAAAAGAAAATAGAAGTGCAGACAGCAGGCAAAATAACTGTAGTATGGCAGCAGGGGTAGGGAGCGGAATTCATCGACCAGCCGAGAAATCAACAGTGCTGTGGAAAAAGTGAGCGGCACAACTAGCGCTGAACAACACTGGCCGCATATATGGTCGTCCCACTCCCGCCCATGCGGGAGGCAACTCGTTTTTGTTTGTGGGCCTAGTTTATTGGCCATCTGTTTTGATTTTCTCTTCTTGAAATTAAGCGCGCGAAAGGGGTGCGTGTGTACTTTCTTTCTCCCCCAAAACACAAGTGTGTGGGTGCTCTCTCAAAAATGTAACAGTGTGTGTGCATCGCAATCTACGCCGCGCGCGCTTTTGATAATTGATAAGCAGTCGTGTTTGTTTGTGTATCTCAAACAAATTGACAATCACAACACACGCTCATACATGCACACGCACACACAGGCACACATGTTGCACACGCGTTTATATTTTTGCCGCCATTCAGTTAGAGTACATGTGTTCTGTTCATGACATACCCTGGCCGTATGGTATATAAATTTGATTAGAAGCTATGTGGCACATAAAAGACATAAATATAAATTTAAATATATCTAGTCAAAATATCAATATATCAGTTGACTTCATATCAAAAAATTGACTCTTGATTTAAATTGCATTTAAATGAATTTATTATTACTTTTCTTGCACAGAGTTTGTGAAGCGAATTTATAATTAAGCAACAGGGAACGACCAGAAAGCAAACGCAACCGCGCCCTGGAATTGTTTTTAATTTAATCTTGAAGACAACCAAGTTTCTAAGACATAAAGCATACATAAATGGTTTCTACTTTCATTGGCCTATTGGGTAAGCCTGCCGAAGAATCGATAGATATATTTGTGTATTAATGTATTTGTTTTTTTTTTTAGACATACAATCATGGTGGGAGATACCGTGTATTTCGCATTTCTGTTCATTGTTTAGTTCCGCCTTCGATTTGCCAGACATTGATATTGAGGTGAGTGTTGCATATATGGAATCATTATCGGAATATACCTTAACTATAATCCTCTCTATTTCGCCTGCAGGACCTCGAATCGGCGCTGCTCTCCGATGGTACCAGCGATGAGGATCAAGTTGCCTTAGTGCCCGAATTGATTGTACGCCTTTTAACCGGCTGCGATGCGCTACAGTCGGTAGCCAATGAGATTACACATAGCAATTATCAAATGTTTTTGCGCCGATTCCTGCGCCAACAGTGTCGCCTGCATCAGACAGAGAATCACTTTGATACGGACATAGATTTTCAATCGCTGCCCGTTCGCAAGCGCCTACAAATTCTACACGATTTATGTCACTTTCGCCTGGACTCTGTCGATGTGCAGGTCATACTCAGTAATCTAGAGGCGGACAGTTTGCGCGTTGAGCCGCTCGGCTACGACGCTAAAAACTCGGGATATTGGTATTTCTACGGTACGCGACTCTATCGCGAGGATAAGCCAACGGCCAATACAGCTTCCGGTTCAGGCAAAGCATCCACAGCTGCAGCAGCAGCTGGAGGATCCATTGGCTCCAGTGGAAATACAGCTTTGGGCAGCAGCAGCACTGTCTGGCAGGTGATTTGCTTCACCGAAGAGGACTGGCAGAATTTGGCGGCCAAATTTAAGACCTCAACGAATGGTAAAGAACGTGAACTCTTCCAAATACTGGATGAGAACTTTCTGCCCAAGCTGCCACAGCTGTTTCGTGAACGTGAACGTTTGAGACGCCGAAAGTAAGTGTTTCACAGATGAAGTAAGGAGTATTACTTGATTTAGTTTATATAAATGGCTTCAGCCAATAAGAAAATCAAAGCGACTGTACTTTTAGAAGACTACGTCTTCAATCATGCTTGAAATTTGTATACATTCAGTAATGAAATTTAATACTCTCGCTCGATTACAGATTGCTGCAAGTGCGCAACTCGAGTCGCATACGTAATCTAGCCGAGTTGAAGGCGCGCCAGGAAGAGGAGTTGAAGGCGCGCCAAGAGGAGGAGCGTAAGCGTGAGCGGGAGCGGGAGCGAGAACGTGAACGTGAACGTCGCGAACGACAATATTCAGCGAGTTTGGCACCGCCAGCGGTGCAGCAACGCTCACGCAGACGGTTAGCACGTCCAGTATTATAAACAGAGCAACAAGCGGACAGCATCTATCACAATCATAAACAAGCMCACAACAACAACAAAAACAACAAAAACAATACACAGACAACAACAACAAACAGCTAGAACTATCAAGCACACGCACATCCAAGCATATTTTGTTTCAAAAGCCGCTGTTTAAGTTTGATTATTGAAATTGATTTTCTTTTCATTTCGATTTGTTTTACTTGAAAGACAACAAACAAGTTGCTTAAAGAATTGTCATTGAAACTTCAAAAAAAAGAAAAAAAAAAAAAAGATAGAAAACCCAAACACATTCTCATCGACGCTTAACAGCAGGCCGCCAGCGAGAAAGAGACTGAGAGAAACTGAGAGACACTGAGAGCAACTGGACCAAATAATCGAGCGACACGCAATTAATTTGAGTTTTGTCCATAATTTGAAAAGAATTGGTTGGATTTCGTTTTCAAAAGCAAACAAAAAAAAATCTGAAAAAAAAAGAATCTTTAAGAAAACACTATATGAACAATTATGTAAGCATGCTTTTTTTACTATTCCTATATTTGATATATTGCAATTTATTATGTTTTATTTATATTTTTCATAATTTAAGTTAAACATTTGTTGTGGCACTTCATTCCATTCAGCTTTCATCGAACAGGGCCCCCATCTGCAGCAAGATGTTATCTACGCAACAAATAATCACCGACTTTTCCATAGTATATTATATCATAACCGTAAAAATCGTTTTACAAATTAACTTAGCTACAGTGAATGCTCGAAAAGAAGAAGACAACAAGAATTTTCCATTTCCATAAAAATGTTTTATTTTTATGTTTGTAATATTTAATGTAAACTTAAAAAAAACGTTGTGTGCATTCAGTGTATCTAAATTTCATTTTCTTGTAAAAGCTAATAATAACGAGTCATCATATTTCAGGGCAATAATATTAATATTCATTTAATTTTAGACTTAAGCGATTTCTACTGTAAAATAGTTAAATGCCGTTTCATATCCTCTGAATTGTCAGCAATATTTACTCACGATTTYCTCTCTCTCTCTCTTTCTCTTTGCTCTTCTCGCTTCAGTTCTCAGTCGACGTCAACAGCTAGTGGTATTTCAACTTACGCAAGCTCCCTCAGACGTACAACAACAACTAATTCGAGCGAATTTCTGTGCCACAGGGAAACCTTTTGCTTGTCGCCCGAAGAGGATGACCAGAACGACGACGAGGAGTCGACACAAGAGCAGCCGCCGCAGCCACAGCAGCAACAGGAAACACAACAACAACAGCAGCAACAGCATCAACAACTAGCGCAAGAAAAACAGCAACAACTCGAGCAGCAACAACAACAGCCACTTGAAGATCAACAACAGCTCGAGCCGCATCAGCATTTGGGCTCTGTAAAGGCAGCTGGCGATAAGTTTCGTACGCCGCCACCGCCGCCGCGAGAGAAAACGCAATCGCCAGCGAAATTCAAGAACAAGGGCCATCATCATCATCACCATCATCATCACCACAAGAAGAAGAAGTCAGGCAAGAAGCAAAAGAAACGCTCTCGCGAGCGTCGCGATCGTGACAGAGATCGTGGTGAACGGGATCAACAGCATTATCATCATCATCGGCGGCGACACAAGCATGCGTCTGAGACAGACGACGACGACACGAACAACAACAACCACAGCAACAACAAYAATAGCAATAGCAACAACAGCAATAGCAACAGCAGCAGCAGCAACAACCCAACAGGTGGACGGAACCACAAGCGACGCCATAGTCGCCAACATCAACAGCAGCAGCTGCAACCACAACATCAGCTGTCGCCAGAGAGTCCAGAGACTCCCTCATTGAGTCCGGAGGATAAGGAGAACTTTTGCCGTCAGCTGCAATTGCTGGATACAAACTCGGCGGCCATAGCGGTCGCCACMAGCATTGCGAATCTAAGCYTGCCCTCGCCCGTCGCGCATGACAGYGAGGAGCAGCAGCCCCAGCAGCCAGAGCCAACACAGCCCGCACCGCCGCCAGTGCCAGCTGTCAAGCGGGAGGAGCAGATGGCGCCAGCGGCCAATGTCAAGTTGCCCGGCCGGCAAACAAACAACTCCCTCAGCTCCCTAACGGGCAACATATTTATACCAACGGGCACACAACAACAACAGCAGCAACAACATAGTAGCAGCATCAGCAACAACAACAACAACTCCACCTCTTCCTCTGGCGAGACGACGGCACGCTCCAAGAAACAAAAGGCCGCAGCTGGCGCCAGCTCTGGCAGCTCCTCCAAAGCGGAACGTAAATCGGAGGCGTCATCGAAAAGCAAAAAGTCAACAGCAACGGGAGCGCCATCGTCGGCTGCCTCCACTGCCTCCTCATCCAGCAAGGCAGAACGCATTAGCAACGCCTACTCTGACAAGAGTGCCGATGAGTAAGTGACCAATTAACTAAAACAAAGCAAACAAAGCCCAACAGCATACACTCACGAACACTTACGCATACATCATCTCTATATAAGTAGATCTCTAAGATCTACTACTAATCTATGTAAAATGTATTTGTAAAAAGCTTATAGAGACAGTTTATCTATGATTTATAGCAAAGCAAAGTCTTATATGTTGAAATTAGCTCTGAGTTTAGATATTTTAGCTGTCTTTCAAATGCCCTTGCAGATATTTCGTACTATTTTTGTATGTATAACCTATACGAACTCGACTCTCTATAAAGTAAAACTGCTGAAATTTTATATATAAGCTATTTTACCATTTAGGAAGTAAATAAAAGAAAATTGGTTTGATCATGTTGTAAATAGCTATAGTTCTAAAAAGAAATGCCACTTGTAAAGAGTTTATACATTTTTAAATTACCTAATGTAATTTATATTTTGAATCAATATTAGACTACTCTACTATTTAATTGAGAATCTATATCTGCAAGGGTATTTCAGCTTTTTGCCTTAAGATTCCATACCCTACTGTAACTCCCTCCAGTAGTGTTGTTTCTCCGTTTATTTGATTGCATGTCCTTAACTGTTGCACTTATATCAACTAACCGACACATCATATTTCATCAAATTGTATATAATATATCGATTGAATTAACATTTTATTACCCGTTTGTATTGTAAACTTTTGTACCTACCACCAAAAATCAACCAACAACAACATTTTGACTGTTCATCATAACCGTAACAAAAACAAAAACAAAATGTAGCCATGTAAATAGTACCAACCGTAGCAACAGCAGCTTTAACAACAACAACAACAACCACCATAAGCACGCGTCGCACCACAATCACAACAACAACAATCACAACCACTCAACGTCGGAAGCAGCAAATGCAGCAAAAATAACAACAACGCCGCACGGAGCCCAAACATCATCACACAACACCACCAACCACACGCACCACACCAACTCCACCCACCATTCACATAGTCATATTAACAGTAATAAACATAAATCTCATTCCTCGACATCAAACACCACACAACAACCACACATAACAAATGTAACCAGACCCATAACCCATCATCTAACAAACCACACCAACACCACCTCCACAACAACAACATCAACCACATCATCAGCGAAAGCAAACAACAATTCAACGTACAACTCCTCAAATCATGCGAATATTCTTAGCTTTACCGAAACGGAGGAGGTGCTACAAATCGGAATGCATAAGGTGCTTGTCTATGTGAAAAATCATCGGGATGCATGGCCCTTCATGGATCCCGTTGAAGAGGATATCGCACCGCGATATTACTCAATTATCAGAAGGTAACGTATACAATAATATTAAGTATTTATATTATATTAATTGACTTCTTTTCTAGACCCATGGACCTGCTCAAGATGGAGGACAAACTGGACAGTGGGAAGTATCACAAGTTCAGCGAATTTCGCAACGATTTTCGCTTGATTGTCAACAACTGTAGACTGTACAATGGTCACAACAATGGTATACTATATCTCAATTGAATATCTGGATAAGAATTATATAAGGGATCTCTCATTCCACAGAGTACACGGAAATGGTCAACAATCTGCAGGATGCCTTYGATAAGGCGACCAAGAAATATTTCGATAATCTCTCCGAAGACGACGATGATGATCCGAATTTAAGTTATCCCGCCGCTGATTCTAAAATGAACGTATTCCGCGAGAAGTACTTCAGCAAAAAAGCGAAAGGTGACGAGGGAAAGGAATCCTCAGCGAACTCGACGTCGAGTAAACGTATACAGGACACAAGTGCGGAAGAGGAGGAGCACAGTGAAACGGAGGAGCCTGCCGCGGAGCTGACAACACACGCGCAAAAACGTAAGCGCAAGGAGAAGGATAAACGGCGTAAGAAGAAAACCAAAACAAAACCAGAAAGGGACATGAGTCACAATGAAGATGTGGAAACGGATGAGGAGGATTTGCAACCGGAGCCGCCACCACCGCCGCCTGTAATCAAGAAGAGCAAGAGTAATAAAGTACTTAAGGAAAAAGACAAAGACAAGGATAAGGACAGGGAAAGGGACACAGAGCTGGCCACGTCGAGCAAACGTGGACGCAAAACTAAAGGCAGCAAATCCTCGCAGTCAACGTCGGCCACCAGTTCCTCGAAGCCCACTACCAAAACACAAAAGACCAAAAAAGCGGGTAAAAAGTCAACGCCCGAAACGGAAACGGAGTCGGAAGAAAGTGATCCAGCACCCACTGAACCCGAGTCGAGCGACGATGAAGAAGTGGCTCTGGCCAAAGTCAAATCGCTGGTGAAGCCCACAGCGCGCACGATAGCCGCGCAAAAGAAGAAAATGGTGCCCGCCGAGTCGAAGGTGAAGACACCAACGCCTGTGAAGCGTCAGCCAAAGAGCAAGAAAGGAGGTCGAGGTCGTGGCAAAGGCGAGCGGGAGCTGGATGACCTGGACGACGACAGTCCATTGTTTGATAAGAAGCAATTGCCACCAACAGCTGCCGCAGCGCTAGCCGAATCTGCTGCAGAGCTGGARGAGGACGATGACGAACGCGACGACGACGACAATGCGGATGCAGACGATGATGATGACGACGACGACGACGTCTCACGGTCGCGCAGCATGTCGCCCTTCAAGGTGGATCTGCACAAGAAATACTCCAAGAGCGCGCTCAACGATGATCTCTCCGAGCTGCTGACTACGGTCAAAAAGGTGACCAGCGTCGAAACCTCCAAGCTGAGCGCACGTCACGAGGTTGACAATTCCGATCAGGACTCGGAATCCGATTTCATGTCGTTGGCCAGCTGCAACAGTAGCTCCGATGAGCGGCGACGTCGACCCTCGCCAGTGGCCACCAAGCGGGGTAAGAAGTCAGAGGTGAAAAAGGAGAAAGAGAAGGAAAAGGAAAAGGACAAGGACAAGGACAAGGACAAGAAAAGCACGCAACACAAAGAAAAGGACAAGGATAAGCATAAGGATAAGGACAAGTCGCGCAGTGCCAAGCACAAGAAGAGCTCAGCAGAGGCAGCGGCTGCAGCAGCCGCAGCCGCCGAGCAGGCGGAACTGGAGATGCTGCTGCCCTTCATGGACAAATACGATGTGATCAAGTATCGACGCAGCCGCGCAGCTCAAAGCAATTCCAGTGCATCCAATTCTCTAGCGCCCTCCGAGGACTCCAAATCGACGAGCATCAAAAGCAATTCCAACTCCAAGAAGAAGCGTGAAAATACAACTGAGGCGCCAGCGGAGCACAAACGTGGTCGCAAAAGCAAAGAGCCAAAGCATGCTAAGGACTCCAGCAGCAGCGTGGAGAAGTCGATTAAGCTGGAAAAGCCTGAGAAGGAGAAGGAGAAAGAGAAGGAAGAGAAGCCCGTGGAAAAACAGCCCAAGAAAGCAGAGACACCAAAAAACGTTGACAAGCCGCTGCTGCGGGATTTGACGCCGCCACCACCGGCGCTGCCTAAAACGTCAACGCCTCCGCTGCCAGCTGTTAAAACAGAGCCGGCTGGCAAAGATGTAGCCAAGTCGGTTAGCAGCAATAGTGCGAGCAATGCCAAGACTAAAGATTCCAGCACCAAAGCAAGCAGCAAAAAGCGAGCGGACAAGCAAATGCCACCGCCGCCAAAGCCAGCGGAGAAGTCAGCTGAAAAGGGCAATAAGAAGCTGACGGGCAAACGAGCAGCTGCAGCGGCTCAGAAAGCCACGGCCAACAGCAATGCGAATCTGGAGGCGCTGGATGTGGAGACGGAGCAAACGCTAAAGGACATCAATCGTTGGCTGGAGCACACGCCGCGCTTCTCGGAGTTTAGCTCTGCGAGCAATTCGCCGTCGCGCTACAATCTGCTGGATGACTTCGACTCCAGCATTGGCACCAAGCTGGATGCGGCCGACTTTAGGCGGCCCGTTGCTCTGGCTGCGCCCAAGGCGGAGCTGGTGCCCACCAAGCTGGCCGAAGCGCTCAACGAGTTGGTCAGCGAAACCGCGCCCAAGCAAAGCATAAAAGCCGAATCCGATGTGCTTCCCACAGCGAGCAGCGTGAGCAGCAGCTGCGGCACACCGCCGCATTCAATGCACTCGGGCAACTCCATTGGCAGCACCTCAGCAACAGCTGCCAGCTCTACCTCGGCGTCGTCCCATAACTCCTCAGCTACAGCGCCACAAACGGCTGCAGCAGCATCCGTTCCACCCACAACCGGACCAGCCGTAGCCGCATCAGCTGCAGCAATAGCATCGCCTACGCCACCGAAGCCCGCCAGGGAGCCGAGCAGCACGCAGCTGCTTCTGAATCCGCCACCGCCGCCGCACATTAAGCAACAGATGGCCAAGGAGGCGAAACGCAAATCGCTCAAAGAGAAGCAGGCGGCTACGGCGCAGGCGCAGCAGGCCAAGGCCAAGGCGAATGTGATGCGGACCATTGAGAGGCTGCAGCCGGGCAAGGCCAAGGGAAATCTCATACAGAACGTGGCCAAGACGGAGGAGTTGGAAACCCTGCTCAGTCCTGTTGTTAACAAGACAAAAGATGCGAAAAATGCGCTTACCACGGAGAGCAGCGATGGAGCACCAAAGCTTAGCCTAGGCACGGTGATCACGACCCAAGACTTCGCGCTGGGGAAAACTCTCGAGGAGCTGGCAAATAAGAAGGAGCACGAACAGTCGCCCAAAGAGATCAGTGGCATCGGCAGTCCGGAGGAGTCAACATCAGCTACAACGCCCACCAAGGAGCCGCCGAAGCCTTTCGAGGCGCTGCTCGAGCTGAGCAAAGTCAGCGAATTGGCTTCCAAAGCCGCCTCAGCCGAGGCCAAGGAGAAGCCAAATTTAAGTGCGTGGCTCAAGGCCTTTGGCGGTCCGAAGGTCAACAAGAAATCCAGCGAGGATGAGAAACAGCAAACGTCGTTGTCGCTCACGCAGGATGACGCCCGGGTGGCGCCTCCGGCTCACTCGCCAGCTGCTGGCGATGCGAGCAACAACTTCTCGCTGCCTGTTGTGATGCGACAGCGCAAGCCCAGCACGGGCAGCACCAATTCGGAGCGCAGCTCCTTCAGTCAGGACCCGGATTCGCCGCGCATAGCCATCGACGAGCGTTATGGCTCCTATGCGGCTGGCTCGTATACATCGCCTATTTGCGCCTCGCCCATTGGTGCCTCGCCCATCATGGTGTCTCCGAAGCCGAATGATGACATGGGCAAGCCAGCATCTCCATACACACTCAACGGAGCCATTAAGGTGGGCTTCTATCAGGACACCACGACCAAGAGTAGTCCGGATAAGAGCTGCAGTCCGCGAGAGATGAATTCGCCGTATCCGCAATACTCGCAGCATATTTATTCGTCGGCATCCTCACCAAATGTCTCGACGCCTGAGCTGAGCGGCACTTCGCCCTATGGCGGTGGCAATAGCTATAATCCGTCTGGCTCGGAGGCATCCAAGACACCAGCCTACTCCTCCACATCGCCGTTGCCCATCTACGACCAATACAAACAGCCGCGATCGCAGGAGTCTGATTATAACTCTTCAATGAGTCCCAGCACACCCAATCCGCATTCACCCTATCAGCAGCCACAGAGTTCGCCCTACACCACACCCCACTCCACGCAGCCTTCCCCTTACCATGGCCAGTCGCCCTACCATCAGCCTCAGTCGCAGTCGCAGCAGCAGCAGCAGCCGGCGCAACAGCAGTCACAACAACAACAGCAACAGCAGCAGCCCTCACACAGTCCCAATCCGCAGCAGCAACAGGCGCTTAGTCCAATGCCCAGCGTGGACTCGCCCGCCTCCTCGGCTGCTACACAGCCACCCACGCCACTGGCCCAATCACCGGCCGAGCAGCAACATTCGCCTTATCAACAGCCCGTGTTGTCGCCCTATCAGCAACAGGTGGCGCCACCGGTGCCCCCAGTGGTGCAACCGCCCGTACCAGCGTCAGTAGCACCCGCTGCGGTGCCTTTACCAGGTGAGCCCAGGCTAGAAGCCCATAAAATGAATCAAACTTTGACTAAGTTTTGAATACTCTTTATATGGAGTATTCACTTTAGGTCGGGCAGTCTCGACTTGTTTACATTAACAATTTCTAATATGTCTTCTCTTCATGTAGCAACAATGAGCAACAGCGGCTATGGACCGACCCACGAAAACTATCAGCAACAACAGCAGCAGCAGCAGCAGCAGCAGCAACACTCTATATACAATCCCGCAACGCTGATCAATCCGCTGCCTGCTGCGCCCACAGCCACGCCCGTGTCCAAGCCGAACAACAATGATTGGAGCCTGGGCCACAGTCTGCTGCCGCCTAACCTGACGGGGAATCAGGTCTCACAACAGCAGCAGCAGCAGCAGCAACACCAGACACAACAGCAGCAACATCAGGCTTTGGCTCATCAGCAACAGCAGCAACAGCAGCAGATGCATAGCATGAAGCCTAAATATCCAACATATGCACAATACCAATCGACAAACGCGGCAGCCAATGCAGCGGCAGCAGCGGATGTTGTTGACAATCAACAGCAACAGCAGCAGCAGCAACAACAGCAGAAAATTGTGCCGCCTAGCTATAGCAGTGATATGGCCACATTTATGCAGCATCAGATGCAGCAGCCTGCAAAAACAGAGACGCTAATTAATCCATTAAAGCGGCCTAATGAGGATTACAGAGATGTTGCTGGAAGCAAGCTGGCCAAGTTGGAGGAGAATCATCAGCAACAAATGCATACAACACAGCAGCAACAACAGCAGCAGCAGCAGCAGCAGCAACAGCAGCAGCAACAACAGCAGCAACAACAGCAGCAACAACAACAGCAATCGCAACCACAAACATTGCTCAACAAGCAACAGCAAATGTTCAATAGTTTTCTGGGCTCTATGACCTTTGGCAAGCAGCTGGGCACCATAGCGCCGGACAAGGCATTTGAAATGTACAATCGTGCGGCGGCAATGGGTTTTCCCAAGGATTTTGCCAAAGACAACAGCGCCTGCAACATGCAACAGCCGCCGCAGCCGCAGCCGCAGCAGCAACAGCAGCAACAGGTAGCAACCAACAAGCAACAAAACACTCAGCAGCAGCCACAGGCCCAAGCGCAGCCGCATTTAACGCAGCTACAGCCGCCGCATAATCTCAACTATCAACAACAGCAACAACAACAACAGCAGCAGCAACAACAGCAGCAACAACAACAACAGCAGCAAAAGTTGCAACAACAACAGGCGCCCCACAAGTCGCACAACTATGGCAGCAGCAGCAACAGTTTGCAGCAGCAACAACCACAGTCCGCACAGCAGCAGCAGCAAGAGCAACAACAGCAACAGCAGCAAGCGCACAACGCATATCAGCAACAAGCGCAGCAGCTGAATCACAACTATGCACCAGCAACATCTGCTGCTGCTGCTGYAGCTGCAGCGCAGCAACCCACAACTGGTAAGAGCACGTCAACAGCACAATCTGCAGCTACAACCAACAGCGACAACAGCAACATGTTGCACTTGTCCGCAACTGCACATCAGCATCATCTCAGCCAGACGCATCATTTGGCTGCCTACAACAAGCCGACACCTCCACAAACCTACAACAATCCGCTGATGCACACGCTGGCCGAGTCCATGCTCGGCTATCCCGTCAACTACTTTGACAAGAATATGCCGCCAGCAGCACATATGTATAGCGCATCGAGTGCTGCCACTGCGTATGGCAATCCCGCCCAGCAGTTGCCTGGCAACTATGTGCCCGGCAGCAACAGTGCCTCACAGCCCACGCCACAACAACAGCAGCAGCAGCAACAACAACAACAACAGCAGCAACAACAACAACAACAGCAACAGCAGCAGCAGCAGCAACAACAACAGCAGCAGCATCATCAGCAACAACAGCAGGCTGCAGCAGCAGCAGCCGCAGCAACTGCTGAGGTCAAGGCGCCAGCAAAACGTGGGCGGAAGAAGAAGGCAACTACAGTGGCAGCAGAGGCAAACGCTAAGAAACAGCAGCAGCAACAACAACAACAACAGCAGCAACAGCAGCAGCAGCAACAACAACAGCAGCAACAGCAACAACAACAACAGCAGCAAGCAATGTCGCAATACAACATGCCACAAATGCCCACAGCTGCAGCGGCTGCCAGCTCTGCGGCACATCAGCTGCAGGCGCACGCTCAAGTGTTGCACCAAGGCTTTCAGCTCTATGCGGGTCTTAAATCTGGCGGCGTTTCATCGCCTGCTGCTGGCAGCTCATCATCAGCCACAGCAGCAGCTGCAGCCGCCGCAGCTGCAGCAGCAGCGGCCGCTGCCTCAGCGGGCACTAGCTCATCCGTTAATCAAACGTCTGCAGATGCTGCAGCCATCTCGCTGAAGACCGCCAGCGGTGGGGCTGGCATGGTACCCGGCAGTGCCTTCAACTTTGCGCCCACGCCCAGTGCGCTGGGTCTGTACGGAGATCAGTCGGCGGCAGCAGCTGCGAGCAGCTATTTGGATCAGTTCCGCGATGCTGCACCGAATCCCTACTATATGCCACCCGCGCCGGCGCACAGTGGAGCCTCAGCGAATGCAGCGGGCAATGCGGCGGATAAGACACAGAACCCATTGAATACGGCAGCCGGTTCCTATCCCTTTCTGGCTGCAGCGCATCCATCGTCTCGCGCCGCTGCTGCAGCTGCGGCCTATCCATTCGCTGCCTCCCAACTGGATCCCAATTCGCAGCTGTATCAGCAATATCTGCGACGCGACGATTTCCACGCTCGCATGATCTTCAATCAAAGTCTGCTGGGCGGCCCGGCTGCTGCGGCCGCTGCAGCAGGCTATGGCCAACCGCCGCCGCCCCCATCTGCTTATCGTCCCTCGGCGCTGGGCATGACCAAGCCGTATGATATCAATCGACAATCATGGTTTTAGCAGTACGCCAGTGCCGCCAATGTGGATCTGCAGGGCGATGACCTGAATGCGGCTTCAGCAACGGCGGCAGCGGCGGCGGCGGCAGCAGCAGCAGCAGCAGCGACGGGGGGCGGAGCAACAGGAACAATTGCAGCTACAGCAGCAGCGACGCCTGCAAATTCACAGCGCTAACTGCGTTTGGTTTCAACAAAAAGTTTTCAACGTGTGCTAAAAACTGGACGAAAGGAATACATATATATAGTACTATATATATTTCTTTGTAATTCTCTATAATTTTAAATATTTCTATATTGTTTTATATATGGCTAAATTGTTGACTCGAATTCTAGTCTTTTAGAAATCCCGCTGACTGTTTTTTTTATATCGTTCATGAATATTTGACTGAATGTTTCTGTGTGTGTGTGTGTGTATGAATGCATGTGTACATTTCAAGCTCCAACTTCCCTCATCCTGCTCTGTCACTCAACTGCCTCCATATATGATGCCTTTTTCACATTTGTGCAATGTTCTAAACTAAATTCTAAACGGCGCCCAGGTTTTAGCACAGCGTTCGCAACTAAATATTTTAGCTGCCTTGTTTCAGGACTAAATCTAATTTTTTGTTACTGACAAAACACACATATTTGTAATTGTTTATAAAGTTATTTAAGGTAGAACAAGAATAAATAGTTGAAGCAAAATCGATGAATGCGAAAGATTCTAAGAATTGTTTCAATTGCTTCCGACTATTGTAAGCCTTTAGTTTGCAGAATTTAATTAAGCGTATCGATTGTAAATTAGATATTATTATTACTATTATCATTATTATTATTACTATTATTATATTATTACTATTACTATTACTATAATTAGTTTATTATATATGAACGTGCAGCGGGTAAATTTGTTGAAATATTTATTAATATCTGAATAACTGAAAAGATAGAAATGCAAAAACAAACAAAAACTGTTTGCAGCTTACATTTATTTTTAATTACATTCTAAGCCAAACAAGTTGTATAAACTTTTGTTAAATATATACTAAGTAAACCGTACGGTCTTAACTTAAATCCAAAAAATAAAAAAATAGAGTAATATATACAATACACTCACACACACATACATATACATACGTACTCATTGCATGCGCAACATTCCGCCATGATACAAGAAAATTTCTTTCAAACCCCAAAAACCCATTTATGCTGTACATACAAAAAGAAACAAAAACACAAAGAAAATCAAGTTAATACTGTTACGTTTTACACATACAAACATCTCAGATTTTAGCTTTAACGCTGTAAAAAAAAAAAAAAAAAAAAACAAAATTCAAAACAATTTCAAAAGCAAATGCAAAATCAACTGCAAATGCAAAAGCAAATGCAAATTTATGAAAAGTAAATGAAAAGTGTCTTAGTCGCTATTAACATAAAAATATTAAAACAAGCAGAAACGCATCAAAAAAGCAAGGAAAAAAATATGTAAAATACAATTTACAGAGAGCCCTTAATTATTTATATATATACTTACATATATATATATAAAACACAAATACAATAAATCTAAAATTAATTAAGTTGTTAACGCTTATGTTTTGCAAAGGTAAATTTTTAAATTTTATAAAACCTAAAAAATATGATAAATAGTTGATAAATATGAAAAGAAGAGAAAAAGAGGAATAATAAATAAAAAATGGGTACCTAGAGCATAAAGAGCAGCAACAAATAACATATTTAAAGAACCACAAGCTAAATATTATATTATTAGCAATTATATATGTAAATATATATGCAATTAGTTGAAGTCT